CGATGCTTCAGGTGGATGCTAGAGAGAGGATTACTCCCAGTGAGGTCCTCAAGCACCCATTTATCACGCAGAGCTACTTGAATGAAGCTCTGCAGCCAGCAGCAGATGAGCCGAGTACCAGCCAGGCCCAGAACGACTTCAGGAGAACAGAGACTGATGATGACAGGTACGTTATCAGTTCATTCATCTCTCTCTGAGGCCGCAGATGCTGTCATATAAAAGTCAAACCTTCACTCAAGTGGTGAACAGCAGGGACAGTTCTAACCATGTAGTGGCCTGGGACAGAAATTTCTTTGGAGGCCGACAGTAGCTGTGTTTCTGTCAGTGTATTATTATTATTTTTTTTTTAAAGTATTTTTTGGTGCTTTTTATTGCCTTTAGGCGCCCCTATCAGTGTATTTTTATGCTCAAAGTATTGCATAAGAAAGGTTGATGGTTTGCCGTTTTCAAAAGAGTTAATGTGCTTAATGGGAGATAGAACAACCTTTTCCGAATAAATTCATGAGTGATCAGCTCTTTCTGCTGCGAGAAAATGGAACAGAACTATAATTAGTGTCAGTGGTAACAACTGTGTTTAACCTACTATTTTATGTCAAAATGGCTGCTTAGAAAAAGGTCTATTAGATGGAAACACAGGTACTAAACCACATTACCCTCAGCCTTCTAATGTGTACCTGTGTTAAAAATGTACCCATATCCTCCCGAATATACTACTCTATAATTGACTTGACTGTGTGTGTGTTCAGTACCCACGCTGGCCAGGTTCAGGACCAGCAGGGTAGCAGAAATACATTAGAGAGCCTCAGCGACACACTGAGTTGTGACACTCTAATGCTGAATGCTGACCCTGCTGCAGATCCTGACACTGCTCAGGACAGCCAGGGTAGCAGTGATACCGCATTAGACTCCCTCACTGACACGCTGAGTTGTGAAACTCTAATGCTGGATGCCGACCCTGCTAAGGACACCGAGCAGATCCTCCGAGACCTGGAGGACACCACATCAGGTACAAAATAGGTGCCTCCACTTAAGCCTGAAATGTCGAGAGCTTCCACATTGTTGTTAATCTTACCATAGACAGTGGAAGGACTTTTTGTGTGTGTGTTTTTCTTTTGTTTCAGATGACAGCGAGTCCCATCAGGACAGGAAGAAGAAGAAGAAAAAGAACTGCATCAGATGTTTCTTCTCGGGGAGGAGGAAGTCATTTAGCTGTTGCTCTGTGGAAGTTGAGGAGTAGAGTTCTCAACTAACAAAGCAGCATTGCTAGCCTTCATAAGCAGTGAAGTTCTGGGTCCAGTATGCTTAAAACCAACTCAACCATAAGAACATTCACAACGTAACAGTCATACGGTGTGATGTAGGGCTGCACAAACAATCCCAATCATGATTTTGGCTTCCCACAATTAAATGAACTTGATCGTCTACAATATTGACATTTAAAATGCGTGTATGGCTCATAGAAAATTCAGCTAAACATCAAATCAAGTGGTTCTAAACTAACAGCCAGCTACTATGGGTGAGATGTCATGGTTTCACTTTTGGGGAGCACCCTGCAGCTGCAGCCTGGATAATTGTATTCCCAGAAAAAATGCTATATTTAGTTACCGCTAACGAAAACTTTTTTGGAATTAGATTTAAATATGTCAGGGAGCAATGGAATAAGAAGGAGCAGCCACAGTGAGATGTTAGAGGAATAGCTGCGGGCAACATGCTGCACACCTCCAACCTCTCAGCCAGGTTGCCAAAGTTACCACCACTGTCGCTGTTCACTGACTCTTGTGCCCCATAAAATGAGTTAATATCATAGCATTGTTCCTTTTGCTGCCTCTAGTATTCTGGGACCTGTAGTATTTAGTGCATAATACAGTAATGTTCTAATCTTGAAACAATCTTGATCTCAATATTGATCAAAATAATCACAACTATTATTTTGGCCATAATCGTACAGCCCTAGCGTGATGTCCAGCCACACGTATTTATAACTATTTACGGTCCTGACCTCTGCCAAAAAACTCTGGGTCTTTGTGTCTTGAAACAATTAATTCTACAAATGAGGATAACACATTCAGACACTCCCTCCATGAAGGCATTCACGGTGTTGCTGGGACAATTATACAGTAATGATTATGTTAAAACACAGAAGAACAGGAGTATAAGTAGAAAACGTTTTACTACTACTACATTTTTACCTGAGTACGGTGTAGAATGCAGTATTTGTAGTGAACTATTTTCACAGTGGGGTTGGTATTAGTACTTTCACTTAATGAACCTGAATTCTTCCTCCACCTCTGGTTGGCACACCCACAACCTAACTGTACCTGTGTGTTACAGACTGATCCTTTCCCTTTACGAAAGGTGGGTTCCGATGTGGTCTCCCTGCTCCGGTTCTGTCAGTTGTTTGGGCCCGCTCCCTGGCAGCATTCCCTGCTGGGTCTTATGCTAGTAGTGTTTAAACTTCCCAAGTCCAGGTAGAGTCAGTTACTAGGATAAATACATAGCTAATGGCAGCTCGCACTTAGTACGGTTAGAATATCCGACTAATGAAAAGTAGGTCGGCTTAGAATCTTTACTGTGAACAATTAAGTTGACTGTTAGGGGACACCCCTAGAAGAAGGAATTATTTTTAAAATGATTCTTTTTCCAAACGTTACATAGTCTCACTGTATTGGGCAGCCTGGTGACTCAGTGGTTAGCACTGACACTCAGTCCTGGGTTTGAGCCCAATCCTTTCTGTGCAGAGTTTGCATGTCCTCCCTGTGTCTGTGTGGGTTTACTCCAGGTACTCCGGTTTCCTCCCACAGTCCAAAGACATGCAGTTTAGGTTGATTAGAGCCTTGAAATTGTCTATGAATTGGATTGTCTCTATATAAATCAATACACAATACAAATAAATACAGAAAACTGATTTCACAAATCTGTCATGTAAATGTTATCTCTTATAACCACTTATTTATACTGCATACATACACATCAAAAGCTGTATGACCTGTGTAATGCTGGTCTAAACAACTGCATATGTATTTAGTAAGAAAACACTCAAACAACAAAAGTTTATCCAAATGTTTTATTAAAGATGCTGCTTATATTGATAATTAGGTACATTAAACATTGTTTATAAAAAAAGAGAGTGAAATAGTGAACACCATAGCAGAAAAACATCACATGCAAAAGAGAAAGTCAGGGGGGCCTAAAGTCACATTACAATCCATTCACACATTGACAATGAAAAGTGATACGTTAAAATATATAAGTCTTCAGAACCTTACATATGGCCCCTTTAAATATTATCATTATCATTTGCTTTATCTAATGTTAAACACCTCAGTGTCTTTATCTGTTTTTGTCTTCTTAAACTAAGTCACTTTTCAAGGCGTTTTCCCTTTCATCTTGAAATGCTATAAGGAGTTCGGTCTAGACCGGCTCTATTTGAAAAGTGTCCTGAGATAACTTCTGTTATGAATTGGCGCTATACAAATAAAATTGAATTGAATTGAATTGAATAAAATCTAAAAGAAGTAACAACAGGGGGCTACTGATGGCTCATGAAACGAATCTGTATATTTCATTCACATTTCATCCCACTTTCCAGCTCAGACTTCAGAAACCCTGGTATATAAAGCTGTTCAGTTTTCAATTCTTCCTTGGAATTCAGTTTTTACACCAGTTACCTGATTGTGTGGATCCACAGGTTGTGTACAGTCCTCTCTCTGTGTCACATTAGTTCCAGAACATCTTCACATTTTATGTAAAACATTGAATGAGTTACAGGAAATAAAAACACTGGACAGTATTGAAAGATGCATTATTGTACTGCTTGTAGACATTTGAAAAGGCCTTTGTATTCACCTCCAACAACTTAATAACCTTCAACAGGTGTTCTGTGACGTCTATCAGCCTCTAGTGGTGATCAGTAAGAACTGCAGCAACATTGACTGGCGGCTGGCAGCGTAAATGACTCAAATAATAGACTCTTTTACAAAAGATGCAAGTAAAATAGATTTATTAGAGCTGACATCAAGTTGGTAGAAAATAAAAACATCATCCATGATTTATCTCTTCCAGCTCGGGTTATGAACAAAGAGCCAGTACTTACTTTCTCCTGCGTGTCCCGCGTTTTGCTGCAGACTCACAAATGCATGATCCACACTTTTATAACCGATTTCAAATGGTGCTAGAAGGCGGCAGCGGGCTCTAAGCACCAGAGGAAATCAGTTATCTTTTTGTGGGGAAAGAGGAGGAGGGAGGAGGAAGGGATGTCCCGTGCTTGTTCTCCTGTGGCTCACTCACTGCCGGAGCTGTCCTCCTGTCCCCAAGAACACTGATTTCAAATGGTGCTAGACAACGGGAACACACATCTAAACCACCACGTGAAACCAGCTTCTGGGGGAAGATGTTTTTGGTGTTGGATCACAGCTGCAGAAGTGAGATGAACCCACGGCAGGGAGTCACTAGCCCCATCGGTTATAAATAAGGTATTTTGTTGATATTCTGTTGTGTTTTATTAGTTTAAACATACAAATATTTTGTAAATAACCTAATTGACAAATTAATCATTACTCAAGGTCCACTTACTAGCTTTTTCTTCATGAACATGAAAACAGTTCTATTCACTGATGAAGACAGTGAAATAGAGTAGAAAACTTTAAAAAAGCTACTAAGTAGAACTTATATTAAGACGCATTTAATCATAATTTAAAAGGTCCAGTGTGTAACATTCAGGAGTATGGTAAATGGACCTGTACTTGTATAGCACCTTTCTAGTCTTCCGACCACTCAAAGCGCTTTTACACTACGTGAGACATTCACACATTCACACACATTCATTCAGTGATGGCAAAGTCCATCGAACAGAAACTAACATTCATACACACTCACACACCGATGCATGGCAGTATCTTGCTCAAGGATACTTCGACATGTGGCACCAGGAGCCGGGGTTCCCCACAACCTTCCGATTAAGGAACGACCCGCTCTGCCTCTGAGCCACAGCCGCCCTGTGTCAGAAATATAATATAATATATTATAATATATCTTAGGTATGTTGTTTGAGTATAATCATCTGAATATTGGAATTGTGTGTTTGTTAGCTTAAAATGTTTTTATTTACAGAGGGAACGGGTCCTCTTCTACAATCTGCGAGATGGATTGACACAAAAGTTGGTATAGATGACCAAAAAGCTGTAAAAGTGATGACATTCCCATCAGCTTTATGGTACTTTGTGGTTAGCACTAATTAGTATGCTAACATACAAAACTAAGATGGTTAACATGGTAACATGCTAGCAATATAATTGTCCAGACCATCGACATATAAAGATGGACGACATGACAGCTCTCCAAAAATGAAGCCAAAATATCTCGATTGCCCCCTGGTGGCTGACTGCAGTAAAGGTCATAAAGCCCACTGCCTTGGTGTTAGCAAAATCAAAATACAATCAAATCATTTTTTTCCCAAAGATGGTTTCTGGAATTTTAGGTTGTTTTTACCACGTATGTTCACTTTTATGATAAGTTAAGTTTTTGTAGCTATCAACAGGTGATTGACAGCTGAGTCCTGCTGATTGTCCTGACTGAGCAGCCGTACCTGTATCTGGCTTGTTTTTACAGTGGGAGGAAGTGGAGATGTGATGTCTTTTATATGTTGATGGTGCTGACATATTAGCATTAGCATTTACTTCAAAGCACTGCTGTACAACCACGCTAGCTGCCTTACAAAGGTATTTTTATGCAATGTGTAATATCTTTTGGGCTGATAATATTCCAGAAAATATATACCGGTTGGTTCCAGGGCAAAACAGGGAGCACAATTGGTACCGACAGAACATTTTTGCCCCAGATCAGCAGGCTAATCCAACATGTAAAACCTATATTTCAAGGTCAAGAATTAAAGGGGCAAAATATTTTTTTGTCATATTTTCTGAAATCTTATTATTCTGACAGGAAAAAAATCATGTTTCTCTCAAGATAGTTGATTGTTTGTCTGAATAAAGCATCAACCAAAAGTGTCTTTCCATCCATCTCGGCTCTGATTGGTTGTTTTCATTTGGGGCCTGGTGGATTCTTGCAAATGCCATTAGCACTACAAGGAGGAGCCAGAGGAACCTGATTTTTTCACAGATGATCTGTCTTATGTGCTACTGTCAGGATACAGTGACAGTTTCAACAATAATGACAAAAAGTTATTTTCATAAAATGACCTACTGCAGCTTTAATTTTAACTCTTAAAAAGGCCTATTCTTTGTCAATAACGACAGTAATTCAGTCACAACAAGGACACATTGAATTTGCCATTCAGCCATGCTTCAACACACACAACACACATCACTGATAGTCAGAAGTTAGTTCAGTCATACTGTTTCCTACTGACACCCTCCCTGCAGTACGTCCATGTGTCACTCTGTCAGTTGATGAGCTGTTCTGGCAGAGGGGGAGAATCGCGACTGAGCTTCTTATTTAAAGGACGTCTGTTTTAAACATGAATATGGTTGTCATGGCAGCGCAGCAGTGACATGGACGGTTGGTACGTGAAAACTCGCCTCCAGCAGCAGAGAGGAATTGAAACAGAACAGACATCACAACAAATAAAGCTGACAGCACACAACTGCAACACCCATATCAGGATTCAAAGGGGGAGTAGTCCATTACATACGGAAGCACAGTGTCGTTATATATATTCAGCATATAATGATGTGGACTTACTTTATTCGACACCACGTTTGGGTACTCACAGCCTCATCCTTTCTGCCGTTGATCCTGCAGGGAAGAAAAGTTGAAAGCCCTTGTGAATGTGTGTATGCATTAGTATTCATGAGTGTACTGTACACACCCCCTAACTCCAACAATAGCTCATTTAACAACCGCGAGCTAAAGCTATGTGACATTGAGTGCAACTGATTGTACCTGTCCTGCAGGTATGGATGGCAAACCTTGTGTGCATGTGACAGTGACACACCTTTGCCTTTCCTCAACACTCCCATCCCCACATGTGAATGGGAAAATGAGCCTTTAAAAGCCTATTAATCTTTTTTTTTCTTCAAACATTTTTTAAATTCTAGCAAATCAGTAAGGTTACTTTACTTATTGGAAGAATTCCTAATGACAAAATCTAAAGGTTAGAAAGATCTGTCCTATATAATCAAGAAAATGTAGTTTTGCCATGAAAGCGAATTTGCTAACCCATGCCCCGTTTAGCTACTGTTGCTTCGCCAGGCTACACAAGATAACAGTGGCCCACCCAAAATTCTGTAAGTAGTGCTGCCTTTCTGACAACATTATTGTTTAAATAATCTTTATTGGACTTCAATTAACAAAACCATCACTGGAATAAATGCATTAAAATATGCTACTATTCAGATATGGATCTGTATGTATTGTTTTTGTTTTTCTGGATACAGATCCATAAACTTGTATACCATTGTATCTTTCCGGATACAGGTTCTTTTTGTCCAGTATACAGTGTGAGTATAAAAGGTTAGGGTTATGGGAAAGCAGAAAGGTGGAATAAAACATGTAAGGTGAAGTAATACAACATACTACATTAATAAAAACAGAGTTTGTCCAGCTTTAGAAAATCAGTGAGATTATTTGTTAGAACAAAATCATTACATAAGTCTGATTTATACAGTAGAATCAGAAGGATGTTGAGTCTGTTCTGCAATGCGGAGAGATTGTACAACCTAACCATCAAATTCTAATCACTTGCTTAAAGAAAAGTCCGATTTTAAACCTCAACACTCGATTAAATGGCTTGTTAAAACGGCTGCATTGTTTTGCCGTCCTCACACCTCTGTGACATACGAGCGGAGGAGTGCATCCAGCTCTAGGAATGTACAAACAACGACAGTGTGCGTGTGGTGTCTCGTGTCACAGCACAAAGACCTCTGTAGGCTGCCGTTTGTGGGAACCGGCACCGAGCGCTTATGTAACTGGCCAGGTTGTCATGACAACAAGGCTACAGTAAATGCTGCATTGTCCCAGCGGCCCTTACAGGTGTTTGAGAGTGTCAGATGACAGGTGTTAGAGGGGGAGACAATCAGTACGTCCAGGTTGGATCTTCATTTCGGGTTTAATGACACCCTACTGTTCGCTCGGGAGGGTTGGGGTGAAAGGGGAGGAAGCTGGACAGCATTAAACTAATCAAGCAGATACCACCTCACACTGAGATGCACTTAAATTCATGACACAATATTTTGTCATGCTGTCATGTGTGGCTTAACACGCTGCCTGAATCCTGTAATTCAGCTTAATGGCACAAGAGGGGGACATGACATCTAAGAAGCTTCATCTTAGAAGTTCCACTGCGGCCCTGTGAGATAGTTACTATGGTGATATGACTCCCTGCGTACCCACACAGGGGAAGCTCTCATCTCCCCTGCCCTTAGATTAGGGAGGTCAAAGGTCAGGGTCAGTCTTGCAGCAGCACTGGCAGAGACCCAAACTAGTGCTAATAACACAACAGATAGAGGAGGAAGTTAGAATGTCGCATCCTTTTTCACAGTATAATGCAGTCCAACGAGGGTATCATTTCCTTGACTTCAATTGTTACAGTGTAGTACGAAATGTATAAATAACAGGGACATGTCACTTTTCTTTGTATTAGAAAGGAACAAAAAAAGAGGAAAAAGAGAGCATTAGAACAAATCTGAAACACTGTCATAAAGGCAGTGGCATTCAAATGAGACAGCTGTCCCTCGCTACTGTTACAGGCACACTATTATTTCAACTAAGACAATATTCCACATTTGAGATTCATGTAAGCAGCATATTCTGTCGGGATATGCATATGGGATGTACTAATATTCAGGTTTTCGGAGCACTCTTTGGACATGTATTCAGTGCATTTGGAATATGCGTCTCATCTGGGTTTTTACTGCAGCTTTCTACAGCTCTGTGCGTTGTAAACAAACCAACTAGCCAACAGTTTGCAAGGCTGAAGTACAGATACATGTACAAAAGAAGAGCCCACGTTATTGGTTGGAAGGAAAAATACAAGCTACTTTTAGGCCAACAGATTTTAGTTTTGAAATGAGAAAACCAAAATCGGGAAATGAGCTGTTTCTGTTTTTTGTTTTGAAAATAAACAGAAATATAATTGGTAGTTGATTTCGGTTTTCTCATTTCCAAACGAAAATCTGCCAAGTTCACTGACCTTTTGAACATTATGAAAAACAGGTTTTGCATATGCGCAGGTATCGCAAACACCGACCTTTTCACAAAGGTGGTTGATGAATGAAAGAGGGAAGCTGTGTTCGCACGTTACAAGTCCGAAAACAGCGGAGACCTCATGATGCTAAGAGGCAAAGCGGCTCAAGTGGCTCCGGCTTTTTACCGTGGGAGCAACATGGCAGCAGTTTGAATATAGGGAAAGTGAAGGAAAAGAACAAGAAAAACGTAGCAACTGTTACAGTCTGCAGTGTGGTTCCATACGATGATAAACCCAGTGGATCATAAAGAATAATTACCATATGAAGTGAAGTTTCACTTTCTCTCCGTCTGTCCATATGCATGCTCCCTCCTAACCGCACAAGGTGATTTGTTACACTGAACCATCTGGGACGTCGTCGTTGGACACCGCTTGGAAAAGAGCAAGCACTTTCAAAAAAATATTTGGCAGGTGACTGGATCAGTCTATCACGGGTGAACTTCAACCAATCAGATCAACGAAGTAGTCAAACTCTTGAAGAGTGAAAACATGTTTTCCATCGAGAAAAGTCTTCAGTGACATTTATTGCTCTTCTTTTGATAAAGAAATACTCTCTGATAACCTCGTCACACATCAGCACGCACAGCTAGCGTTAAACCACGGCCACATGCTGTAGATTCCAGTTGCTCCTCATAGGACGCTGTTCGGTCACTAGCACATAGCTCAAAGCCTGGCAAGATGGATTCTCGCTTGATCTTGTGACTTTGTGATCTCTCGAGTACAGCTGCCTCGCAAGGTTAGCTCTCTCTCTCTTGATCAGCCGAACTTCCACACATTTACTTCTTTTCTCTACCTCATAGGGGTTGATGAAGTTCCCTTTAAACAACTCCAGCTGACCAAAGCTAGGCAATGGCTGCCATCCTGCATGGGGTGTTGCGGATGCCCCTCTGCCAAGGCGCCCCAGCCCCTACATAGTCTGTACACACCACTGTCTGTAAGACAAAGTGATCACAATTTGTCCAAAGGTTTTAAAAGAGTAGGACTCGAACTAAAAGCAAGTGGAAACAGTAGAGGCTTACGCAAACCCCGAACCAACACCAACCCGCTGCACTATGAATGCAGGAGTGAGTGAGGGACACACACACACACACACACACACACACACACACACATCCCTCCTTTTCGCTCTCTGGGGAGAAAGGCTTCCTTGTGGAGGTGAGGCGAGTGCTTGTTGTCGGCTCTCACTCCGGCTTCCTGTTCTATTCTCTCCCAGGAAGTGACACGAAGAGACAGAGGCTCCCACAGACGCGCCACACACACACACACACACACACAAACACACACATACACACCGCTGGCATGAATGGCAGGCCTTGGCTCCCACGGGTAATGGTGATGTCATCCTCCCTGCCGCTCCATCCGTCCATCCGTCCGGCTTCTGCGCCTGGAAGGAGAGAGGTAGAAATGACGTTAAATGATGACGATCGCAAGTTTATATAAGATTTGTTTTTTGTTCCTTGCTTCCTGTTTTGCTGAGTCATGGCGCAATAATCCACTGCACTGATAATTGGGCTCCTTTCATAACAAAGTCTATTTTTTGGGGTCATAGATTTCAGAGCACTATTGTTAACCTCCAGGAAGAAAAGAAGGAGGGATGCGAAGGTGAGTGTAGGAGGGCGGCCAGCAGCAATAGTCGAATAGATGCACAGGATGTTCACGCCATTTAGCAACAACTATTAGTCACACTGCAGCACCACTGTCTGGACCACCTGCCACAGGCCGCATCATCACAAACACCTTCAGGTGAGAAATGATCTGCATGCAAGGGAGAGATTGTGTGTGTGTGTGGGTGAGTGTGTGGTTGAGTGAGTCGCTGTTAAAAATGGATATTATGCTGTCCGTGCACAACAGGTTTCACTGAACAGCAAGATGGCTGCTCTGTCAATGGGGTTGTTAATGCCTCATCGCCTCGTAACTGGTTTGTGCAACCTCTCTGTGCAACGAAGTGACACATGAGGGCATGGACATATGTCAGTGTTCACTGTAAAAAAAAACCCAAAACGCCATTTGTCACATAATAAATTAACCTTTATGCCTAGTTATTCTCATGGTTTTTCAGTGGTATTATATGCAGATCATTCCAGCAACCAGAGAGAGGCAAGATGAGCTAAAGAAAAGCACACACAACCTCTGTATCACCTGCTGTCACAGAAACTTTGACCTGGAAATTCTAATATTAAAGGCCCAGTGTGTAGTTTCAATGGTATCTAGTACTGTAGTGGTGCAGATTACAACTCCTCGCCTCACCCTCCCGTTGCTAAATTGGAGGTGGTCACGAAACTTGCAAAAGGCCCTATCTAGAGCCAGTGAAGACCCGCTCCCTCTGTAGATAAAAACGTCTCATTCTAAGGTAACTAAAGCACAACAATTCTTATTTTGAGGTGTTTACACAGAAATGAAAACATACATATGAATAATATATATATATATATATATATATATATTATTCCATTTCTGACAATAGATCCTAAATGTTACACACTGGACCTTTAAGTGGTGTTGAAGGTACTTATTTCTCTTGAAATATCTCAAATTTCACATTTCCTGAACGACATATGAGGAGAGATGAGTTACAGAAGCTGGTGGCACAGAGGCTAGCCAAATGTGACGTCAAGACTTTGGCTCCCTATTCAGTGGAAGCGTCTCTTCTACATATGTCATGTTTATCTCTGAAGACCAAGTAAGAGCAGAGTACTCAGCATTTAAAGTGAAGCATAAATGAGTGGGTCATGGTCCTGTGGTTATAATTTGTACAACATCAAGCTAGTAAATCTAGCAATCTGATGGTTTTTTACGGCTGCGGATAAAGACAAAGTTTATTGGCAGAAACGCAAGCGAGCATTTCAATTATCCTGGAAACAGCAGTTTAGTTGGGTGGCGTTAGGCCAGAGATATACTTGCTTTCAACTACACGTTCCTATGATGGCTGCCTCATGTATCCTGTGTCCATTTGGACGGTTGGTTGTGCACGTCCTCAGAAATTGATACGACGCATCCGCAACACAATTGTGTGTCTCTTAATCGCGAAACTCCAGCTCTGTATTTGGCAGTTTCTCTGCTTTGCTTTTGGTGTTTTATAATTCTTTTCAACAACAATATTTTTAGTGCTGTTTGCTTAGCATTAAGCTAGCTATGTCTTTACACTGAGACGTACTTATACAGTTGTTTAGGAGTACCTCAGCCGCACTGCTGTACGCAGGCTTTCAGAAATACTGAGGCCCAAAAACGGAACTTGCTTGGGATGTTTTAGGTCTGCATCAAAGCATCTATAACCACTTTGATGCTTTAGATAATCATTTCACAACTTTTATTGTATACCCCTTGGAAAAAATACAGGTGACCTCAATGGTGGGTGTGGCCAGGTTCACCAAATGTGGCGGTACACAATAGACAAAAATCAGAGTGATTAATGAGAGTACCAGTCCATTTTAGGCACAGGTCGTCATCGTTTTTCAAAGTTTCCGAAAAATGCAGCGAGAGTGCCATAACAATAGTCAACAGCATCTAGCTAGCATGGCTGCTAAAAGGGTCTTTGTTGTTTGATAACCGCTAATAAATAAAACTAAAACTAGTTGTATTGGGGAAAGTAAAAATTGCCGTTGGGAAAGTAGATTTCTGACCGGGCGAGTGAAAAAAAAAACATTAATGTTGAACTCAAACCAACATATATTTGTATCATTTTTAATATCAGTTTATAGTATATCCTTCATGTTTGTTTTATTATCTGCCTCAGCTATCACTTTTCAGGGTTGAAGAAAGAAAAGGATTGTAACTCTAGACCTTCTTTGGTGCACATTAGGTGCTTTGCATCGGAGAAGTGGAATGTTGTGTCCCTCTGCACAAGTGTTCAGAAAACCTACCAAGCATTCAGTATGAAACATAATAAAAATAAAAGCAGTTAGTGTGAGATTCTCAAGCTTTTTCAATGCTACAGATCAACACACGAGACATCTGGGAGCATACCTTTTCACAATTTGATAACATTCTGTCCTAAGAAAATCCACCTGAAGAGGTTTTTGTTGTAAGTTAATACTGATAATTATATTTGGGGGAAATTACAGAGACAGTGGGACCTGTAATCACATGTCATCACTTTGGCTTTTATTTCTAGAGAGTAAAATTAGAGAATTTCTCATGAACTGGATTTCCCTAGACCCTGGTTTAGGCACTAATGATCTTTGTTGGCAATGAATATTGCTAAACGTTTTTTTGCCTAAAAGAGGAATGTACAGTAGTGCAGTGGAATGAAACCCTTCAATTGTTCTTGTAAGAGTGAAGAAAGACTTGGTTGCACATCCAGTATTAAAAACCATTAATCACCCTATCTAGAGCTTTCGCAGCTCCTCTTAAATTCTCCAAGTGGACCACTGCTCCAGCAGGCAGCCTGTCAGACAGATCCGGCACCTCAGGGCCACAGACCTGATACCGATCCTCCCTTCCCATCAAGAAACCTCCCCCCTGTGAGCCATCTTATTGTTCATACGTATCGGTTCCTGGAAAATTAGGTGACTTGACACTGACACGGAGAAGTGAAGATGCGTGACAGACTCAGTGGTGTGTTTTTACAGACAGTGAATCCCAGAGCAGTCACGGCTGAACTGTTGTTATTGATTAAAGTAATAATACCATCCTCTAGCAATTCCCCACGGAACACTAATACTGTAGTCAAGGATGATTTTTTTCTTTCTTTTATTTCCTGGGATTAGAAAGTGAAAGTTGGCACAAACACAACCATTTATCATTGGAAAAGCAGCCAACGATGAATGTACAGGTGTCTGCAGTGTGGGAGGGAATGTGTTCTTGCTCCAGCTAACACGTGTGTGTGTGCGTGCGTGAGTGCTTGTGCGTGTGTGAAAAGCGCACAAACTCAAATTGTTATCCGACATCAAATGCCTGTTCTGCTCTTTGAATGAATGAGTTCTTTCACCATGATAACATCCTCCTAGGGGCCAATCAGTGACAACAGCCACACTATACAGTAGCTGTCTTTGCTGCTAGAGGTGTGGACAAAAAGTATTTTTTTTATTAAAGTTACCTACTGCAGCTTTAATCAATATTTTGTATATAAAGAATGGGTCAGGTGACTGTTTAATATGAATTGGGTCCTCTAGTAGTTATGAATCCACAGAGAACTCTGTCTATCCAACATGGGTTTAAATTCTAAGGATGCCATGTATTTGAAACCTTACGCACGAGCACCACTGTTACAGGGTAAATATCTTTAGTTATAATAACAGTAGAGCCACGCAGGCAGGAAAATTGAGCATGGATCAATAATAGAATCAATAATAGGATTGGTATCAATTCCCATACCAACCCCGAAGTCGCCAACAAAAATCAATCAATGCTGCTTTAAGCTATCGGAATAATTTGAAAGATGCCGCAATCACACATAAGTGTGACACATTTGACCCCATTAGGCCAATCGGATCAGTTATCTCAAATGTAAGTGGCAGTGGTGGCCTAAAGAATAGAGAAGCAGCAGGATAAAATCTGGGCGGGGAAAGGGAAGAAGCAGCACTTACACTTTCCTTATTACCGCCACTGAGGTGCCCTTGAGTAAGGCTCTTAACCCAACTGGTCCAGTGGAGCTGGTCAGTGTGGCTGTAGTTCTGTTGTTGTACTGGGCAGTTTCCAGGTATGAATGTTCTTACAGTGTGTGTCAGGGTCTCTTTACAGTGCCATCTGAAGTAGCATTCTTGGGTTTGCCCCACTGTTGTAATGGACATCAATCTATTCCATATCATAGCATTAAAACCTAGTACCAAAGTGTAACACCTTCAAGACTACATCCATCTAAAGCTTTGCAGAAAACCTCATGGACACACTTTGTTATCCCACACTGCGTTATTACTGCTAACCAGCGTCTGGATTTATGGATAAATGTCAGGCACTGAGACAGACCACTGCTGTTCCTCTCATCAGTGACATTACCATAAAGCTGCTCATGCCATAGTAGTGTGTATAGCCTCAGGTTCCCGTGTGTGTTAATGTGCCTCAGTGGTGCGGTTCAGGCGGAGGTCGTGCCGAGTAAAAGCCCAGAGGGAGGCGGGCATGAGCCCCAGCGTGCAGAGTTATGCTAATAGTAACGATGCTGATGGCGGCAGGGAGAGCATAAATCTCAACTAAGGAGCATGACGATAGTTTAAGTCGGCGAGGCAGCTACGCCTCACAGTGCCACACACACACACACACACCCTCAACACAGCTGACGAAGATGCTGCACAGGCAGAGACGCACTTCTGCAGAATAACAGTGTGTCTTACAGTTCACTGTGGCCTTTGTCGATTCCACATTTCACGCCATAAGCAGATTTCCCTAACCCATATTTCACTGCATGGTTTCAAACCTACTGTAGCTTATAATTAACTGCTGTCGTGGAAA